GTTTAGCCGACCGACCATCAGCTGAGTCCGTCGTCATGTCATCGGCGTTTTCGAGAGGATATTGATTTCGAATGGTTACTCGCCGTCTTGGCAATTAGCGCCGAAACCATTGGCTGGCGAACCTCATGCGACAGCTAGTTATGCGGTGGCGGTGGCGGCGGCCGTGGCGGCGGACATTAATCATAACCGAACATCTGGCTCCAGACGCGCAGAGTTTTGCCCAATCCGAAAACTGGCACGATGACCGCCAAGAGAGGCGAATTCCGACCGACGCGGACGATCGATGACCACATTTGCTACCTGCATATCGTTCGGCTAATACGAAGGTCACTTGAACCGTCGGCAACCGACCGGACCGACCCATCTTTCATCAACTAGATTGCCTTTTGGACCCTGCTGGCTCTTGGTTTCACTGTTCACACGATGGCCTCAGGTAATGAGATCGAAGAACAGATTTACATATATGCGAAAGCGAAAGGTGCACAAGGGAATAGTAAACGACGGTTAACCATATAACCCGGACAGCATTGAAACTCAGCAACCAGTAGTTGAAGATGTAGGTAAGATGTAAAGCCCACGTGAAGAGATACTGGCCTGCTGTGATGACCTGATTGCCAGTGACGTTGTTGACAGGTTCGACCAAATTTTACACGCAAATCAACGAACATTTGTTCCTCAATAAAATAAATGAATACCGTTGGCAAGGTAGGAAGGAACGTCGTCATTAAGCGATGGAAAGTTCTAATGTCTTTTGAGGGAATCGCATTTTACTCGAAAATTTTGCTTAATGGCCGTATTTGTACTCCAATCTCTCTGCATCTTAATAGTGTGATCCGTGCCCTTCAACCCGCACCCCCAACTCATACAAAAAAGGAACACCAATTCGAATTACGAACGCTCCTCCCTAAAATAATAAATTTTTGCTATTTTATTTATTTACTACAATGTTCATATTCTTTCTGACAATCTCAAGGTGCAATAGACATTTGCCGTTGTAAAATGCACCCTGACTTGCTGAACAAGAAAAAATGTTTCGGGCAAATCAGACGTGTTGAAAAAGCAAGTCTTCTGATCTGCTAGTTCACGTTTCCACCTCCATCGGAAGGCACGAGTGCATTTCGAAAGTCAGGAGGTAACGATGCTCCAAGACCTTTAACCAAACATGTCAATATTTC